CCCAGAGATGACGCTGCCCACAGTGAGCTGGGACCTTCCATATCAACCATCAGTCAAGAACATCTCACCCTACACACACACACACACACACACACACACACACACACACACACACACACACATCAATTCGAAATCAAAGACTTTAAATGGAATTGCATTAAATGAAATGAAAAATTTTATGTTTTTTTGAAATATGGGATATTGTTTATTGAGCAGTGGACCATATACAGTTAACTAATTTTGCTGCAGACTTATTGCTATAAAGATGGAAATCAAAGACTTCCATCTTTTCAGTATGAAGGACCTATTACTTTAAATTGCTTGAAGAAAAGTTATTTGAGTCTGTCAGCAAATCAGCTATTACTCCTGGATGGCTAAATAGTTTACACTCTTTTTTGGGGGGGTGGAGGGGTTGAGACAGGGTTTCTCTGTGTAGCCTTGGCTGTCCTGGAACTCACTCTGTAGACCAGATTACAGGCAGTCCATTGGAGACATTTTCTCAAGTGAGGTTCCCTCTGCCCAAATGACCCTAGACTTTGTAAAGCTGATACAAATTTAGCTAGCACAAAGCGTTTTCCAGACACAGCAGGCCATGTGCACATATAAACTCAGAGACAGTAAGCACATGTGTACCACCTGTTCAGTCTCAAACCAGACAAAACCCCTACACAAAGGAGAGGAAGTGGGTACAAAGTCCCACCCTAGTCAAGAAGTTAGTCTCGAGTGTAGCCCCGGCTGTCCTGGAACTCGCTCTGTAGACCAGGCTGGCCTTGAACTCACAGAGATCCACCTGCCTCTGCCTCCCTGAGTGCTAGGATTAAAGATGTGCACCACCACTGCCTGGCTTTAGTTTTCTTTAGTGGAGTATCACCAGGTATATCAACCACAGTCCAAGGCAGGCCCCATGCTCAGGAGTAGTTGGCCAAAACAAATCAGACTCTGTTTTAGTAGCTCTTTTTCTTTTCTTTTCTTTTCTTTTCTTTTCTTTTCTTTTTCTTTTCTTTTCTTTTCTTTTCTTCTCTTCTCTTTTCTTTTCTTTTCTTTTCTTTTCAGGAGAGAGAATGAACATTAAGTTGGGTTGGTAGGGATGGGGAAGGATCTGAGAGGAGTTGGGGAATGAAAAGGATTATGATAAAATATACTATGTAAGATGGGTGTGGTGGCATGCACCTTTAATCTCAGCACTCAAGAGGCAGAGGCAGGTCGATCTTTGTGAGCTCAAGGCCAGCCAGGTCTACAAAGGGAGTTTCAGGACAGCTGAGCTATTTAGAGAGACCATATTTCAAACAAACAGACAAACAAACAAACAAAATAATGTATGTAGTTCTCAAAGAATGAATAAAAAAATAAAGTTCCAGGAAAGGCGCAAAGCTACACAGAGAAACCCTGTCTCGAAAATCCAAAAAAAAAAAAAAATAAAAATAAAGCACTTTGGAATAAGCCTAATAGAGGAATCAAATGACGTCTACAATGAAAATTTTAAGACACCAAAGAAAAAAACTGAAGGTTCTAAAAGATGGAGAAATTTTCCATGCCCATGGGTTGTGGGAACGGTTATATTACTGAAAGCAGTCCAAAAGTTCAAAGCAATCCACATTAAGATTCTAATGAAATTTCCTCACAGAACTATAGAAAATAATCCTAAAATCCTTATGGGAGTGTAAGGACCACAAATAACCAGAGAAAACTTAAATAGATAAAGTATGATAAAGTTATCACAATATCTGATCTCAAATTATACCTCTGAGTTATAATTAAAAACCCAAACAGACATGTTGATCAATTTACGGAGTAGAAGTCTCAAAAATAAACCCACATACCTATAGTCACTTAATTTTTCATAAGTATGTCAATGGTATACATTAGAAAAAAGTCTTTAGCAAGTGGCACAGGGAAAACTGGTTATTAGCAGGTAGAGGAATAAAATTAGACGCATATATCTCACCCTACACACACACACACACACACACACACACACACACACACACACACACATCAATTCAAAATCAAAGACTTTAATATTAGACCTGAAGCTTTGAAATTGTTGGAGAAAAATTGACAAAGCACTTCCAAATGTGGGCAAAGACATTCTGAAGATGGATACAACTCACAAAATAATCCAAAGCCTTGATAAATGGAATTACACGAAATTATAAAGCTTCTGCATAGTAAAATAAACAGTTATCAGGTTGAAGAAATAGCCTACAGACTAGGAAAGTATGCTAACTGTGCATTTGGCATATAAAGTACAGAAAATAAACTCGAGAAAATAAATACACCAATCAATAGCTGTGCTAAATAGTTCTCAAAGAAGAAAACGAACAGCCAATCAATATTTGAAAGAGTATACAAAAACCTCAGCCATTGGGGAAATTCCAATTAAAACTTCATTGAGATGGTTTCTCACCCCAGTCAGAATGGCTATCATCAAGAAAATAAATGACAAAAGAGAGTGCTTGCTGCTCTTGCAGAAGACCCAAGTTCAGTTCCCAGCATCCATATTGGTCCACTCACAACATCTGTAAGTCTGGCTCCAGGGTATCCAATGCCTTCTTTCATAGGCAACACACACACACACACACACACACACACACACACACACACACACGCACACACAGGAAAATGAATCTTTAAAAAAGAAAGAAAAAACAAATGCAGACAGGATGTGAGTAAAGAGGAGTCTTACACTCAACTGATGGGATATAACTTGTGCAGCCACTATGCAAATCAGTGTAGAGGGTCCTCAAAATCCTAAAAGTAGCATTTCATATGACCCAGCTATCCCATTCCTGGTAGTCAGCCAAAGGACTCTACCTCCTATCACAGAGATATTTGCACATCCATGTTTATTGTTGTTCTGGTCACAACAGCTATGAAAAGGAGCCAGCCTAGACATCTCTCAACAGGTGCATGGACAGAGGAGGGGTACATGGGCATGATGAAAGCTTATTCATCTATACAGAAATGAAGCTATTCCATCCACAGGAAGATGGGTGGAACTGCAATGTTAAGGTGAGTGAAACAAACCAGACTCGTGTCGGGATTATTTCACCGGAAAACTCTTAGTTCTGATAAACATTTTTAATAAAGTCACAGGACATAAAATTGCCACACAATAATCAATAGCCTTCCTGTATACCAATAATACACCCACCAAGAAAGTAACATGTTCTCACATATGCGGAGCCTGAATTTAAATGTGTAGATGGTTGTTCAGTGGGTGTAGCTGTGAAGGACAAGAAACTAGGAGTCATGAAACTGGAAAAGGAGATGTTAAAAGAAGAGGAAAAAGTGAAAAAAAGAGAGGGCAACAGAATTCGTGGGAGATGCAGGCAGAAGGGAGGGACTGATAAAATAGCTCAGGGGGGGACACGCTCTTGCCAGCTCACCCAACACCTTGAGTTTGGTCCCAGGAAACCCACGTGGTAGAAAGAGAGAAGGAACTTGCAAGTGGTCCTCTCTGTGCGTGCACACACAAACCAAGTACGGAAATGAATGTTAGGATTTAAAAAAAAAAAAAAAAGGAAAGGGGAAGATTTGGGAAGAATAGGGAGCAGGGAAGCGAGGGGTGGGGAGAGCCGTGGGGGAGGGGAACAGTTAAGAACAAAGTGTAATGAAATGCTGTGATGAAACGTGTTGCTATGTGTGCTAACTGAAAAACAATTAACAGGAAAAATAAATTAAGCTTTTATACTCTAAGGAGGGTAAATGCAACAACTGAACAATAGAACTCATACTGTATAACTCATTGTTCATAAGGGAAGAACTCATATGATCATTTCAATGAATTTATTTTTATTGAGCACATACTTCTTGGGTATCTCCTTTACACAGCATGGAAAAAAAAGACAAATAATCCTTGATCTCAATAGAAGCAGAAAAACCTTTGGTAAAGTCTCCTCCCAGTTCCTCACAAACTATGATTAAAACAGAGTTTTTCTGATAAGGTGTTCATTCAAAAACAAAGCAAAACCATTATCTATGATGCTGAAACATGAGCAACTTTCTAATCAATCTTAAGTACAAGGTCCTGGCCACTAAATTAACTTGAAAATGAGATACATAAAAGTATATAAAAATTATTTCCTTCAAGATGAAATAATTAATAGTAGTTTAAAAATTCAATAGTATGATACTAGAACTAGGAATACAGCTCAAAAACATATTTAAAAATGTACTAAATACCACAGCAGCCTATATACCGGAAATATTCCAGTGGTAAGTGTACTTGACACTTGTAACAACAGCCAACAAAAGCCGTGTGTGCTCTTCACCGAGAGCAAATGCAGGTGTCCTGGGGACCAGCCGGGCTGCAGCTGCGGTGTGACTGAGCTCATGGGCTGGAACGACGCTGACCGGGGAGAGACTGACATTTGTACAGCAGACACATTGATGTAATTATGATTTGGAAGGGGTAGGCGTGCTGAGAACTCACCACAAATATACTTTCAGCTTCTCGACCCATAACTTCCACACTTAAAATACATTTACTGGACAATAAACAGAGTAAAACATGTTTTTCAGTTTCATCTGTGTGTACTGCATTCACAGCATTTCACCCCACACCCCACCCCACCACTGCTCCCAGCAACTCCTCCCACATCCACCAGTGCCCTCTCAAATTCATGGCCTCTTTCTCTTTAAACGTTACTGTTACACAAATGAATGAGCAGATACAACCTGCTCAGTTGATTTAGTGTTGTGGGATTCATGTGTTTTTATGACTGACCACTTGGTATCAGATAACCGTGTAGAGAGCGCATCCCTGGAGAAGACTGAGACTCCCTGGGCCGTCATTTATTAGCTCTTCATTTACTATTTCAGCATTCTTTAAATGGTAGTGAAGATACAAGAAAGTGTTTTGGGGGGTTTGCTTTGTGGTGTCCTCTCTCTCTCTCTCTCTCTCTCTCTCTCTCTCTCTCTCTCTCTCTCTCTCTCTCTCTCTCTCTCTCTCCTTCCTCCCTCCCTCAATCTGCTTCTCCTTTTCCTGTATCTCCCTCTCCCTCCCTTCTCTTTGTGTATTTGTGTGTATGTGTCCTTTTCTTTTATTCTATTGGAATTTATGTTCTTTGCTGCTGGGGGTGGAGAAGGTAACGACTGACAGCTTGTAAATAAGTCAAAACAACAAAAAAAGCAATTTCAGAAAGAAATCATTTTTGGCCACAATAATTTAATCTATACAACTCTCCGAACTGTTATAGTTAATAGTACACAATCTAAGGCATCTTTCCTAAAATTCTGTCACTTTCTTCTGGGTTTATGCCACAGATACTGCCCATCACCTACTGGGTCATTGACAATCTCACAGTGTGACACTTTGACACCATGCGGGCTGATTGACAGAGATGCTTGTCTAGCAAAGTGAATAGTTTCTCATCATCAGTCCCCTCATGGATAGGGTTGTTTGACCACTGAGCAAATAACCTAAAGTAGGTGGGTTAACTGTAGTCTGTGGACATGGCTGGTTCCAGAAGCAACTTCAGATGTCCCAACTGTCCTCAGATGTCTATGTGTATATGTCTATTGTGGTACCCATGTAGCTTTTAAATTCTTTTTTTGAAAATGACAAAATCTAATCCCCACTTAAAATAATAGAAAAATGTGATGGACATGGAGATTACAATTCATTAATTGAGTCCAGGATCGCAGGAAGAATCCATTATCAATATGGTAATGAAAGCAGGTTTTGGTCCATTTGGCTCAAAATTCCAACCCTATCACTTACCTCTCTGAGACAGTTTTCTCTTCTTTAGAGTAGGGATAGCTGAAATATTCATTCAATGCATTTGTTGTGTTTGTTTAAATGGGGTGGTGTATGTAAATAGTATATGACATAATGTGATATTCGTATTTGTGTTTCTGGCCTTTGGAAAAGAAAGTCTGGGAAAACTCCAGTGATCTTGCACACATTGGCTGCAGGTGAAAGACAGATCATTTCGTCCTACAATCTCTCCTCAAGTTTCAAATTCCTCTTAGAGGGAATGATCTACCATTGGCTCTTTGCTCTCTTCTCTACTACCCCCCGATCAAAGGAGTAAATACCCACCAGGGTTGGGGAAGGACTTTGAGACACCATGATGAATGGTCTCCCTGAAGCCACTCTGAACAAGTAGTCTAGTTTCTGGAAGAATGAGGAAGACAGACTGAGAAGAAGACAACAGTGTCTACCAGGCTGTGTATAATGACTAAATACAGTACTTCACAAGAGAAATTGTTTGTCTTATCCTCTGAGTATGGCCAAACTGGGGCCATCCCAAGAAAGTCACTCTCCACCTTTGAAGTCCCTTCGAGAAAAAGAGGTGAGGATTTGTACAGACGAAGCTCTCCAGGCACTCTCGGCGTCCAGGCACTGTTGAACAGAGTTCTACCCACTTCCCCCTCACTCCGGTTTTTAACCCATTCTTTGAAACACTACAAATATTTTCTTAGCATCCGTCTGACAGCCGCCTTCACCTCCTTGTTCTTCAGGCTGTAGATGAGGGGGTTCAGCATGGGGGTGATGACGCTGTACTGCAAAGAGAAGATCAGCTCTTGAACGGATCCTGAATTTGGCATGAGATAGCGGAGTAACCCTGAGCCATAAAAGAAGCTCACTGCCGTGAGGTGGGACGAACAGGTAGAAAAGGCCTTGCTTCTCCCGGAGGTGGAGCTGATGCCCAGGATGGTGAGCAGGATGCGAATGTATGAGAAGAGAATGAAGAGGAAGTTCCCAAAGAAGTGGATGAAGCTGGAGCAGAGGAGGGTGGTGAAGCTGGTGGACACGTCGGAGCAAGATAAGGGGTAGAGAGAGGGCAGCTCGCAGAGGAAGTGGTGGATATTCTGCGCCTCACAGAAATCTAAATTCAGAGCCACGAGGATATTGATGAGAGCATCCAGAAAGGCCAGGCCCCAAGAGCCCCACACCAGCCCCGCACACAGCTGTCTGCTCATCACTTGGCTGTAGAGCAGAGGCGAGCTGATGGCCACATAGCGGTCGTAGGCCATGGCTGCCAGTAGGCAGGACTCGGTACCTCCAGTGGCGAACACGAAGAAGACCTGAGCCAGGCAGCCCTCCACCGAGATGCTCTTCTTCACAGAGAGGAGGTTCTCCAACAGCTTGGGCACTGTGACAGATGAGTGACAGAGGTCCAGGAAGGACAGTTGTCCCAGGAAGAAGTACATGGGCGTGTGGAGGTGGGAGTCAGTCTTGACTGCCAGCAGCAGCAGCAGGTTCCCCACGAGGGTCAGAAGGTAAATCACCAGGAAGAGCATGAAGAGAAGAGCCTGCGTCTGGGCGTCACCAGGCAGCCCGAGGAGGATGAACTCCAGGACAGTGCTGTGGTTCCTCATCTCCCTCAACATTTCTTTCAAAATGTGAGAAATAAAATAGTGGCGCCTCTTCTTACGCCTAACAAACATGTGAGTGTCTGTCCCTCTTTCTTAGTCAGTTTCACACCACTTAAAACTAAGTGCTGAAAAAAATGATTAACTTGCCTAGGTCGTTGGAGCAGGGCCTCAGCGTCTCTACAGGTCCCTTTAAGGATGGGAAATTCTCCCTCGGACACAAAGGCCAAAGTGAAAATCTTACAAGGACATTTTCAAGTGGGACAACTTGGAAGTTGTGCTCTGTCTGGAATCAGGGGTGGTGTGTAAGAGCTTTGTGAAATTTACGGGATTAAAATCATCATTTTGTTTTAAACCTGGAGCTGCAATTTCACTGCTCTCAGAGCTTCATGTATGCTGATTCCCAGTCCCAGTTTTGAGTGAAAACGACTCTGATACTGTTGTCACTGTGTGCTTGGCTATTGTCACAATTAGAGTGGCCCTTTTCCCAAAAGGGACCTGTCTGGAGGAACATTTTCGGAAGGGGACACAGAAGCATATCTAGCTCTGTAAATGGCTCAAAGTGGCTCCAAGTGTCTTATCTCTAAATAAAAATAAAGCGTTGACAAGTGAATGGGCCCATGAACGGCTCAGGGGAGAACAGTGTGTAGCTCTGCTACTCAGAGTGCTGGCCTTGTTAGGGACCAGCGAGGGGGGGGGCGGTTACAGCCATGGCTTATGTTAGAGCAGATATAGCAAAGGACAAAAGTCTGTCAGCTGGAAAGATCTGTCCCCTGCTCCCTACCACAAACCTCGGAGCTACAACTAGCAGGCACACGGATAGTTCCACGTGTGGCTACTTACTGCACCTAGTGTGTTTGGATTTCTTCACGAATCACAGGTTTCCCTAAGTCTACCACCAACGTCCTCGTCTACCCCACCCCTGATACGTGCATGGCTTTCTCCTACTAGCCTCCCTGAACCTGTAGATCGCATCTCAGCTGTTGCATACTAAAGACAGAAGCTAAAACCTAGCTACTCTGGAAGGCTGCACACGTTTGCTGATTTGAATCTGGTGTTAAAAACAGCAGGGGTGCTGAAGAGTTACCCAGTTTTCTTTCCTCACCCCCAGTTCATCTTTAATTTTATTTAAAAAGGGACAGAAATTGTCCTGCAGAGCAAATCAAAGCTTCTTACATAACAGAAGTGACTTTCTGGACCAGAGAGGAAGATACTGCTGCCAGCCCAGGAGCCGCACTGTAGAGGAGAGGGAGGGCTAGGAGACGGGAAAGTGCCTGATCAGAAAAGACTAGAATGGTGGACCCTAGGAAACCCTGGGGAAAGCAGCCACAGAGGAAACCACGGCGGGGAGCGGGGGGGCAGAGGAAAAGCGTTACCAAAAGCATTACCGTGCTCCGTCTCCTCCCTGTGTGGATGTCTTCCATTTTCTAAGGTGTTTGGCATGTCTCTGAAGGCTGGAGAAAAGCATAAGAGACTGTGTAGAACCGTCCGATCTCAGGGACCGACACTCACTCCTATTTAAGATCTTTTCTACGTAAAGACACGCGCTCACCCCTCAAATAAGCCTTTCTGAACCTTGAGAGCATGAACCACCCCTTTATAGGGTTAACTACAAAGAAAAGGAAAACCTTAAAACTTCAAGCTCCTAACAAGTGTCCCAGCAAAGTTCTCACAGTCCCTCTAGCATAATTACACAGTCATCTCTCTGGCTGCTAATATACTGCTGAGAGCACAATCCTAACAGAGGAGGCTCAGGTCTAGCCATTACGAGGGGCCACTGTGCTAGGGTGGCCAATGGGACAGACAAGCAATGACCTGAAGACCCAGGGGACAGCCGGGTCTCCTGGTTGCTAGAAAGCGCCTCCTGGGGCAGATTTGTGCTCTTTGGCTAAAATGGTTGCTAAATGATTCCACCGGGAATTCCCACTGAGGTTAAGTGAGTCACAGCTTACTTTAAACCATCTTCCCAATGCTTTACTTATAGATCCACTATATAATATATCTGTATATGTTATATAACAGAATTATTATGTAGTCAGTGATAATTTGCATTTACTAACATACTCACTTTTTCATTCAACTCACCTGCGCCCAGAATTGAAAAGCTCAGTAGCTAAACCAAGATCACAGTGCATGACTTGACACCAACTAGACACAGCTAAAGAGGTGCTCAGGAGCCAGGAGTTGGGTGTAAGGAAAGCAATGTTCCCCCTGAGCATCTCCCCTCTTCTTGAAAGGGCCTCTTCAAGGCTCTGCTTAGCAGAAGTCTTCTAGTGACATTCACTTCTGTGTTTTAAGTCTCTATATGATTCTATTCTTATGGTTTTTACCATTTTAACTATCCACTGGCTAATGGATTATGGGTTGTCATGCACTAATCTTGTATGTGTGATTGTACATGTGCATGATGGGTAGTGATTAACGGACAGGGACAGGATGATTTTGTTTGAGACCAGGTCTCATTATGTAGCCCTGGAACTCACAGAGATCTATCTGCCTCTGCCTTTCAAGTACTGCGGACCACCATGTCTGGCCTAATGGGTAACTTTAAAAAAAGATATTTCAAAGATACTATCCTACTATTTCCTTGCTTGATGGACATTTCTGCTCTTCTGAAGTCAGTCTGGTAGTTAAACATCACCTTCTCTGGAGTTAATTTTCCTTTTACATTCTCCTACTACTTTTTTAATGTTTTCTGACTTGATACTATCAAATACAGACATTTTCATTTCTTATAAACCTGGTGTATTTGTTTCAGGTTATTTTTCAAAGATAAGGAGTTTTGAGTTCAAAGGTGCCATTTGTACCATTCATAACCCCCCTCTTTATATACGTGATACTAAAGTCAAAATGCAGCTTCTGAAGCCAGCAGGATGTGCCCTCCCAAGAGATGGCTACACCTTAACCTCTGAAGCCTACCGACATGAGGAAAAGATCCTGCCATGGGGAAGGGACTTTGCAAATGGCATTAAGGTGACAGGCTGAGGGAGAGGGAACAGCAGCTGTACACAGGCTCTGGCCCGCTGAGGGCAGCCACAAGGTGAAGTCCAGGGGTGTGAAGCTCTGGGGAGCTCTTTCCTCCCTCTTCTAACCCAAGCTGAAAGGGTTGTTGGTGAGGCTGAGCACCCGCCATCCCTGTCCTCCCCCTGGCTCCTGCTGAGGCTGAGAGGGGAGGCTGATTTCTGTGTCCTGTGCCGCTGCTGCTCCGAGGAGCCGAAAGGCCCCTGTCACAATGGCCTTGCAGCAATCAAGTCTCAGGATTCTCGGAATGAGCCAATAGGACTTCTCTTCCATCATGACTTCATCCGAAGGCACAAACAAGACACAGGTTTCATTTCTAAAGATAATGAAGGGTTGTGGGTAAACATTGACCCAGACCCCGATCTGATGAGTATTTTAGACATGTTTATATAGAGAAATGGGCTCAGATAGAGGTCATTCCTCCTTCCCTTCATCTGCCAGCACTTGCCTTCAGTCAGAAAGGTACTCACCCCCAAGAAAAATGTCAACAAGGTTTTCTGTTTTATAGAAAAAGGGACAACAGATGTAACTAAAAAAAAAAAAAAATGGAGAGGTAGACAGAATGCAAGTATCAGAAGCATGCATTGTAAAATGTGAACTGATTAGAACTCCATTTTCTTTACAGTATCACTTCTGGCAATGTGTTAACTCCTACCTCAAACTGAGAACTTTAGAAAGTGCCCTTTGTATGTTTTGTGGCATTGTAAAGACATTTCCCAATGTGACTTGTCATCACAGAGCTCTCTAGCAGGCCAGAACATGGCAAGCATGTCTATGGCAGGTTCTGCCCAGCCCCCCCCCCCCTCTCCCTTGCTAAACCCTTAGATTACATTCCTAAAGCTAGCCCCCGGGGTCAAACCCTTATTTGGCTACTGACTCATTCCTGATACTAAACAAGGGGTCCAGCAACCAAAATTCATTATTTGTCTACACTGACTACCTGTCCATTCAGGACTTATCAACCCATCCTAGCAAAGACTTCCCCTTTTTCTCCTTAAAAACCACTTCTGCAGAAACACCTGCTGCTGTCTTTGCTCAGTCTAGAGGCAGCCCCCTTGCTCGTCCCTCTGGGGTAATAAATCTCCTTTGTGCTGAGAACTTGGTGTCTGAGTATGTTCTATGTTGACTCTGAAGGGCTGCCCCTACAGAGCTTGTGTGGATTGCTCACAAGAGTGTTGGGATAATCTTTTTGTACACTGTATCTCTGTCCTTCCTCACCTTCCTAAGGCACCTTCTGATTGGTTTAAGAAATACCTGAGCAGCCAATAGCTAGGCATGAGAGGATAGGCGGGACTTCCAGGGAGAGACAGGAACTGTGGAAAAGAATGGGAGGCATAGGAGATTCGCCAGCCACAAGAGGGTCACAGCCAGACATAGAGGAAGTGGGACATACAGTACTGCGGAGAGGTAATGGGCCACATGGGAGAATGTAGATTAATATAAACGGGTTAATTTAAGTCTTAAGAGTTAGTTGGGAACAAACCTAAGCTAAGGCCAAGCTTTCATAATTAATAAAAAAAGTCTCTGTCATTATTAAAGAGCTAGCAATATAAGAAAGGCCTGTTACACAATAATGCCTAAGGACAGAAATCTCTGGAAGCAGTTAACACTGTGTATTAGTTCCTTTTCTGTGGCTGTGATGAACACCAGTGCCAAAAGAAACTTAGAGATGGAAGAGATCATTTGGGCTGATGGTTCCTGCGAGATGAGAGTCCATCCTGGCATGGAAGAGTGTCAGCAGCAGAAACTGAGAAGTCACATCTCAACCGTGAGTGTGGAACAGAGAAGACTGAACTAGAATTGGCATAAAGCTTCTTCTCTAAACTTGGTCCCAGTGACATGTTTCACCCATCAAGGCTGCACCACCTACACCTCCCCAAATAGTGCCCCCAACTAACAACCAAGTGTTCAAATGCTCAGGACTGTGGGGGACATTTCTCGTTGAAACCGCACATCAGTTGTTCAGAGTATATTGACCAATTTAACCCCGCTTAAAAGGAGCTTGTGACTTCCCTTTGGGGTCACCATTTGCCACCCCAACATTTTGGAAATATTGAATGCTCACCCCCCAAGGCCAATAATCACATCGTGAATAGCGATGCCTTCTATTAAAGTGATTTTTACAGGAGCACCAGCAAAGCTTTCCACCTGCCACAGGATTCTCTTCTTTCCACTTCAGGGTTTCTTCCCTCATCCCCAGAGTAACACCTGGTAGACTTAAAATAGTGTAAACTGGAGACTTGTTTCATTCACAACCAGTACAACTCACAACCACAGACAACACGCCATGTCACAACAACTATCGCTATTCATGCTTAGCGTACTGTCAACACATCATGTACGTGACTTTATATCATCCACTGCTGCTGCCCCTTGACTCTAACTAATCAGTGAAGGTTGTAGTCCTTCCATGTAAACTCTGGGCTCTCTCCTGTGGAGCAATACCACGGGGCTTGCTTGGATGCCAGATCCACGTACAGCGGCAGCAAAACTCTGTTCCACTCTTCTCGCCCACAGGTGAATTCAACTGAATTTTGAACAGTTGG